CATTCCACATTCCACAACACAGCTTAACAGTAATATATATATATATATATATATATATATATATATATGAGATAAATGCTACATGCCTAATGTTTATCGGAATAACGTTTATTTTTTTTATTTTTTTTTCATCTTCCAGGCTTTCGCCAAGTAACTGGCTAACTTAGATGTTTCATATGTGAACACCCAGATCAATCTTCATCCGTCATCCCTGCTTTAAAAAACATTAGTTATGTTTTTATCTTAAGTATTGCATGTTTCATACTAAAAAGGACAATAGAGAACAAAATTATTTTTTCTGTATTATTAAGATGGCAGATTAACTTTTCTTCTTCCAAACTGACTTTTCGTCCCCTTTGAAGGTGATAAAATACTGAATTTTAAGTGGGCAGTTAAAGATCTTCACTTTTTAAATAAACTATATACAATATACTGTAATACTCCATGCCATATAAATATTGTATCATCCTAAATGTATGGAAACATGGTCCAGATGTCATTACCCCTGACTTGAACACAGAAGCTCTGTTTTGTACTTTTTAAGGTCCCAGTTCCCAGCTAAATAATCAACAACAGGATGCACACAAGTTTTGAATAGGAAAAAATCGTTTAATTTCTTTATTTTACCAGCGATTTCTTCCGAAACTCCACCTGCTGATTAAACAAGACCCATAGCACCTTTTGATTAGTATTAATATGAATCTGCATAATTCAACATTAAACCGGTGATATGGATGTATGGCCGTGTACTAGGATGTACTGGAAGAGCTGTTACAACAGTGTATCTGAGACAATAGTGAGAATGGGTGTTTGTGATCATCAAATCAATAAAACAATGACAATAGGTCAAAATGACCTAACTTATAAAAACGGCTCACAATTATGCCAAGATACAGTATAGCTGACAAATTGTGATAAAGACATAAAAAGTCTCTTGTTTTAGGTACCCCATGTTGACAAAGACATTATTCAATCATAACTGAAACCTGTCAACATTTTGCTTCTTTGTATTCTTAACAACACACACTGTGGAAGAAGCACTACACAAGAAAAACATTCCTTTACTCATTGGCTTAGTAAAAAAAAAAAAAAGCAACCTTTTAATTTGTCATCAGATTAATGTTGAACGAGTCTGGTAAATAAATGACCACTGATATTTGCTGTGAAGTCATAATATTTTTACTCTGACTAATGTTTGATATTGCAAAATTTCATATTTTACCACAAAAACTTGCATCCAACCTTTGACCACACTGCCTCACCCACATGCAGAGAACAACCGCCAGGCTGCAGAGACTTATCAGACTCATTAGTTTGTGTCATGCCTCAGTGTAAACACCAATGGTAAATGGATCACACTAATGTGTTTATGGTCTTTCTTAAGGGTTTATGAGATGAGTATGTGTGAGTGACTGGGAGACAAAGAAATAACCCATCCTGTTGTGTGTTCCATAGTATTTTACAGCAGGGCAGGGTGGGGACACCACAGCACTAAAATAGACTTGTAGTTTCCTGTTGAGTAGGTTACGCACCTTCTGTACAATATGTTCCTCCCTAGAATCTAATGGGAGGTACACACACTTCAGCTATTGACACAACAATGTTCTACAACAGCCTGTGTATAAGTATTCATTCCTGCTAGGAGATTCATGTTAACAGAGCAGTTTGTGACTGAGGGAGTTGTGTGCAGTTGCTCTGTGTGTGTGAGAAATAAGGAAAAACAACTGTCATGCACAGTAAGATGAGCCAAGCTGTCCCCTCTTCACTACCTCAGTGATGGACAGTATCTGCTTGCCGGAGGCCCATGACACCCCCAGCCTGAAATGACTTTTCCACTTTCTGTGGTTTCCCCCATAAAAAAAGTTAGATACTAATAATAATCATTATTCACTATTTCATTATAAACCAAATACCACACTAAATACCAAATATTGGCACCAATAGAAGGTTCAATCCCCAGCTCCTTCTATCCACAAGACCTTGAACCCAAAATTGCTCCCATGCCTTCAAACCTTTTTGTTGTAGAGTCTGCTTTGTATTTGCTCTACTCAGTCAGACTTCATATCCCCTTTTCACCTTAATTATACAGATGAAAGTATAAAGAGACATAAAAGACTAAGACAGAAAGGATGGCATGCCAAAGGCCAAGTTCAAAACCACAACATTGTGATTACATGACAGGTGCTTCAGCTGGCTCCAAAATCAGGACACACCGGTTTCTGTTGTTGTTGGTATTGAATTTAGTTTAAATCAGTATTCTGAAACTAAACTTCCTGAGACCTGCTACATTCCGATCACCTTTTCTTCCTGTCCCCTCATCTTTGTCATATAATCATATGCGACAGGTTAGCAGGCAGTAAAACATATTTTCCAAGGGAGATTCACAGGGTAATTATGACTGAGGCAGTGCCAGATAACTAGCTCAACCAGTATTCTAAAAGCCATAGAGACGCGCACACACAGTATTTTACACTTGAGTGCACACCTGATTAGTATTGCATACAGTGTTCAATGTTGCGTGTATTTTCTATCTTGTATATTTTACCAAGTTGTCTTTTAACTGTAAGTTGCAAGTATCTTTTTCCTTTTACGAGTCACACACTAACAGAAACACACACACACACATATTGTCTCTCTTTGGCATCTTTTCACAGAAACTGGGTGTGTAAGGTTAATTAAATCTAACCATGACTAGGCTCACTTATCAAAGTTAATAATGTTAAATGATTTATTTTTAATCTCTTTCTTATTACATTACAATACTATGAGGCATAATAGCTTGTATTTGAGATTATCTTATATCTTATAAACCTGTCTCTCTGTCTCAGTCTCTGTCTCTCCACCTGGGCAACGCTGCAAGGTTAAATAGCTGTTTGGCCCCCGTGTGTGAGGACACCGATAGATGTTGATCATTGTGTGCAGGAGCAGAATAAAGAGGAATAATTAGAGGCATAGTTTTTCCCACGTTGGAGCAGCACAACATATGTGACCCCTGCAGCCTGCCAGAAGAGCATGGGCTAAGTGTAACAACTCATATTGTGTGTGTGTGTGTTGGGGGAGGGGGGGTCTAAGTTAATATGCCCAGCTTGTTACCATTTGGGATGCATGTGTGAGAGGGAGGTAGAAAGAGCTGCAGAAAAGAGCTTACATAGTGCATGAGCTTGTGTGTGTGTGTGTGTGTGTGTGTGTGTGTGTTTAGGAGTGTGTGTTGGCTGAAGCTTGTCATCCGATCCCCTGGTGTTGTTCCCTCTATGTTCAGCAGTGTGGGAGCCACTCTCCCGTCCTGTACTCACCTCTCATCTCCTCTCCCTGGGGAAGTGTTTGTGTACACGTTTGACGTTCATGTGCACACTTATACACATCCAGCATATCAGTCTGTATTAATGTTTGAGACATTCAATATATCAGCATGTGTTTCCATGACCTGGTTGTTTGTGTGTGTGCTGATGTGCCTTTGAGTTGTGCATGCTTCATGTGATGAGACACGATGCAAATTAAATTCAGGTTACCGCCATATACATGAAACGTTCTAAATCAATCAGGCAAACTCAAGCTCATGCATGGATGTACTACATACACACACACCACCTCTGCCATTGTCAAGGGAATGGTTAAGATGCAGGTGTAGTGGTGTTATGTAACCGTGTAGTGAGGATACAGGACGGATGAGTGATCAAATATACACACACACACACACAGCTCATCCTATTTAAAGAAACAAAGGCACAGTGGAGGCAGTGCTTTTTGCTTTGACCAGCCAAGTG